ATTTCGAGCCGTTCGATGAAGCTGGAAAATATGCAACCACGGGTTGGGACAAACTGTTGGCGATAGTCGGCGTGCAACCGAGGGTGGCTCAGGCCTGCTTGAAGTGGTTCAACTCGGAACATGGGTACACAGACGCAGAACGTGGGTTACTGAAACATGTTTTTAAAGGGGTGACAGAGAAAATATGTGAAGAATACTTTGTCAGTCTGAGTGACACCAGGTGTTGTCCCAAGCGTGTGGTGTAGCAGTTGCACCTATATCCCCCCCCATGTCGCTTAGTGATGAGGAACATATACGTTATTTGTGGAAGAATGTGAATCATTGTTGTTAAGGTGGTTATGTTAATGGCGGATAAGTGTAGTTGTGGCAATGGCCAACCACATAAGGAGATTACTTGCCCCCCGGGTAACCTGAAAGAAGCAATCGATTGGATTCTAAGGGTGACGAATAAGGATGATAAGAAGAATGGTGGTGGAGGTAATGGTGAGAAGCTTGGAAGTGAGGTTGCGGGGTTACTACAGAAGGCTAAGGATCATATAACGACCCTACTTAAAGAAGCTGAGAAGCTACCCGAAGATGCTAAAAAAGCTGCCACTGAGAAACTCACAAAGGATAAAAATGTGCTTACTGAAGTAAAACAACAGTTGACCAGTTGTCAATTGATCACCGAATTGGCCGATAACTTGAAACAGTTTATTGATGGTATTAAGAATGGCGGTACATACGAATCATCATCTTATAAAGACGCCACCTGGGATAACCAATGTAATAATAACGACCACAACACTTGCGCCTCTATCCTCCTCGGCGCGCTCCCCGTAATTTTTTCAGGGCTAAGTTATTTGTATTGGCAATGTAATAAAGGTAATGGTCCTCCTGGTGGTGGTAATAATTGGTCCACTCAATATATCCACGACACCAATTTTTCCCTTGGCATCTATTTCGTCTGTTGTGGTTATGACTTAACCAAACTCAATCAGAATAAAAAAGGTCAACAAGTTGGCGAAACTTGTTTCCAAGAATTCACAAACGGTACTGCCAACGTCACCGGTGACTACTCGAAATACATCAACACATTACTCGAAAACACCAGAAAAAATGCCCCTGGCGATGCCACGAAACACCCCCTCTCCAGCCTCTACCTCGCATCGCAATATTATTTTATGTATCAACAGTCGAAGAATCCAGGTGACCTTAATCGGGTCCCCTGTAGTATAAGGGAAATGCTCTACTGGCTAATGGCTCTGCCATATAGTGAGTGTTTCCAGCTAGCACCTGCAACTATTAAACAGGGTATTAAAAAGCATGGTGAAATTGTAATCATCGGTATGGTTGTCACCTTAAACCTTACTGATCCTTTCGATTGTTATCTATTAACCACTTGCCATTACGCCGGTTTCATCCTAATGACTATACAAGGTAAATTGTGTAGTCCCCCAAAGACACCTACAACGACAGATGAGACAACCAAACCAAATCCACCTAATATTCACAGCATATATGATAATTCCCACTTCAAATTCCACTACCCACACACCGTCACCGATTGGTTCAATAAGCTTTGGGATGTGGTATATCACTTAATTACACAGTTTTATTTCCTTAAAGAGCAATGTAGAACATGTTTCGGCGCCGGTTGTGGTTGGCAGTGGTGTCAATATGGTGATGGTATCAACTCACATATGACGAAGGAGGTGGAATCTTGGATTTGCACTGTTACCCCAGGTGAAACACATAGTTCAGGTAGTGGTGGCAATCACACCTCTGGTTGCACAGAATCCCAACAACACATCGCAGCTTGCGGCAAAGACAACAACCCCTCCCCCCTCCAAGCTTTCCTATGCGATCTCCTAATACCTTTTAAATGTCCAAAATTTGTTGAAAACAAAAAATATCCACCTTACACCGAGCATATTTCCCATCGCAATTTCAATCAATATTGCCCAGTACCAATGGGATTCAACAAAGACTATCTTCCTTCGTCTCCTCGCACTGGTCACTATATCTATGAGATACTAAATTACTTCACCCAAAACAAAAATCACCATATAAGTCTCTACAACATATTCATATGTCTAATATGCACCGGGTTACGCACTCCCCGTACAGTCGGCGATCTTTTTGGGTTTTTCTTGTATCTTGGTGAGAAAATGAATAATGGTGGTTCCCCTAAGGTCGCTGATGCCATCGATACCGAATCTAAGAAAATACCATGGAGCAATCAATCAACTCCTATGACTACCGCTGCCCATGACCTAGCTGGTAAAACCCATATAGATGACCCTTCTCACCACCCCGCCGATGCCGACCTCTACACCCTACATGACAGTGAATGTGCCATGAGCGTAACCTGTGGCAAGTACCTTGACCCCCTGTCATTCGTTATCTATTGCAACGTCTCCGTAGCTTTCGCGGAAACTTATTTGTCCCGTATAATTTATCTCACACACGCTCTGAAAGAAGGTCTTAAAGTATTACTTACAGAGTTCAACAACCTCACGTGCGAACATTGTCAAAGTTGTGACTGCAAAGGAAAACATACGAATAACCAACACACAACGTCATGCCTCTGTACTACCATCGTCCAATGCGCTGACGTCCTACCCCTTTTCTTCAAATTCGGCTTCACGTACTATTACGCAGCTGCATTAAATGGTACTGAGGAATTTGACAGTTCAAAAAAACGCCAATGCAAAGACTTCGCCAAGCAACTACAAAATGTCATCATCAACGGTGGCCTCTTCAAAAAACTTCTGGAAGAAATCAACAAATTCCTCCTTTGCATCCGCAAACCCTTCCTCCTATACCTCCTCACATTCTGGCTTGTGGCCATTCTGTACTTCAGCTACGGACTAACAATACCTCTGGACCTGTTCCATATCCGTTCACATTGGAGACGTGCATTGTCCCATCAAATATCCGTGTTGGCGTTATTATCGAAGAAGGCGATGTCACCAACAAAGGTTGGATATTTCACACCGTAAGATGTCATCACATATCAATCTAATGTCATCAAATCTATGTTTGTATGTATTAGGCAGATTGATGGTTTCACAAAAATTTCATGTTCTACACCCCCTTCCGCATGCACGGCACAGATATTCAGATAAAGTGTGTGGCTAGC